TAGGTAAAACGTAATAAAAAACAATGCAAACTTGTTTAAAAATAATAAAAATGACAAAACAGAGCAAAATAAAAACACAAAAACATAAAACTTTAAAATTAAAATTAAAACTAAAAATATAATAAATTAAATAAAATCTAATTCAAATATAAACAAAAACGAATTAAATAAACTACAAAATTAGTTTAAAAAACTACAACACAGACATAACAGCAGAGTCGTTCTCTCCGCTGAACCTGGAAAACCGCAGCAGCTCTGGAGCGTCACGAACGACGGGATCATCCGGAGCCACGCCAGACCAGAGCTCGTGCTGGAGGTCAAAGGTCAGAGAGATCCATCATGTTCACATCTGATCCTCAGGATCTTTTGAGGAGCATTTGTTTCCAGAAGCTTTACTTTCACTGTTCCTCAGCGGAGGAATGATCTTCACAAGCCTCCAGAACATCTCACATCTTCTGAGGAGCCTTTATTTCTTCAGCTCTCAATCACTGCATTATATGTTTGGAGCATTTCAATCTCATTTTACGGAGACAGATTACTGGAGATATAGAGCGACGACTGATATTTAGATCATTTTATGTCAGTATCTGCTGCACTGTTATAAAGATCTCATTGATTAACATCACAAGCATCAGAATCTCATCATAGAAATATCAGCATCTGCAGCAAATTCACTGATGCTAAAGTGTTATTTATCAGCAGGAGCGCAGGTTAACATGAGCCTGTAGCACCACCTGCTGGATTCACACACAACCTGCTGATATATTCACACAGAAAACCAGCTCCAGTGCTCCTCATTAACACACAAGCCACCGCTAATCAACTCAACAACCAGAGAAACAGAGTCATTAAACATGATGACATGCTTGCCTCATATTTCACATGAAGCACTGAAAATAAGTTATATTTGGCAGAAAGAAAACAAAGCATTGACATCTTTTGCATTGACACATTTAAGCACTGCATGCAAAAAAAGTCACTTCTAAAGTGTAATATAGTGATAAAAATCATGACAGTATTTAAAAATAAATAAATAATTAAAACCCACTCCAGTTAAGTTCAGTACCAGGAAAACTTGCATGACAATCTAATAATTAAATGATTTAAAATCCACATTTAATTAACAGGGCGAATCTCATAAAGAAATGTGTGTGTAATATTCCACATGAAGAAATTAAAATAAGTTATATTTTGCAGAAGAAAACAAAGCATATTTGGCGAGCCATTATTATTTATTCATTTATTTATTTATTTAGAATTGTGACATTTGTCATTTAAACATTTAGTGCAAGAAAATGTAATTCTTAAACTAATATAGTGACAAAAATCATGTTTTCAAAGATATTATTATTAAAATAATTTTTATGTATTAATAATAATAATGTTAGGTTACACTTTATTTTAAGGTGTCCTTGTTGCAGTGTAATTTAAGTACTGAGTAATATTAATTAACTACATATACTTACTATATGGTTAGGGTTTGACTTGCATGTTTAATTAAATTGCATGTTTAACATACATAATTAATTATTGTTATAATAGTACGTACTTGTAATATGTGTAACAAGGACACCTTAAAATAAAGTGTTACCAATTGTTAATATGATTTTTTTTTTAATAGTTATTATGTTTGAAAATACATTTTAATATTATTATTATTATTTAGAAAACAATAATTCAAAACCACTCTAAGTTTGTTTAATTACATGATGATGTATTAATTACATTATTTAAATCACATTAACGGCCTGAATCTCATGAAGGAATTCCTGCGTAGTATTTCACATGAAAAAAATTAAAATAAAATATTATATTTGGCAAAAAGAAGCTAAGCATATTTGTAGAGCTATTGATTGCTATTTATTTATGCCATTTTGCTTTATGTCATTTCAGCAAAAAAGAAAACTCAACTTTAATACAGTGATAGAAATAATTATCTTTTTATGATCTGGCTCTGTTTCTCTGCAGGAGGTCAGCAGTTCGACAAACACCAGATTATCGTGAATGAATTCCACCCAGACAAACTGAATCAGCGCTGGACTCTGGAGATCCTCTGAGCTGCGCCACAGGACCCACTGCTCTGCTGCGGAGCTGCGCCAGGGGGACCAGCGTCCTGTGAGGCAGCTGCACCAGGGGGACCATCAGCTGTGGAAATCTCATTCTCATGAGAGCCAGTGGATGGAAAATCACCGTAATCAGCTGGACGTTGTATTATTTTTATACATGAACTCTCAGATCGACAGGAAGAGCACATACTTGAACAATAGTAACTGTTTTATTTTGTGTAAAGTGCATAAACGTGCCCTTTATCATAAATCACATAAATCAGTGTGGACACTGATCTCAGCTGTATTAAAACACGAGGCGTTTAGAAAATGTGTTTAAAAGAAGTGTTTGTTGTGTTCTAATCACTGAGACGTGTGATCAGCTCTGTGCTGATTGGCCCGCGGGGATTGGCTGGCTGCTGATTGGCTGTCAGGGGATTCTGGTTGTTTTATGGTTGAGGTGCTTCAGACAGAAGCCTCTTCTCGCAGTCAGCACAAACCAGACCGTCTGCTGTTAAATCAGTATTTATCTGCATTCAGAAGAGCCACGTCCAGGCGTTATAGAGTATTACAAAACCATGTAATAGTGAAGCCAATTCACAGATGTATCTCAGAGTTCTGACTTTATTCTTGTAATTCTGAGAATTATAAATTGCTTGATAATATAAACTTGCAATTCTGAGAAAAAGAGTTGCAATCAGCTTTTTTATTTTTATTTTTTATTCCGTGGCGGGGAAAAAATAAATCCTTGAGTTGCAAGAGAATTGGGAGGAAAAAAGTCAGAATTGCCATTTTTTGTTTGTTTATTTTGTTAAAAAAACAAACAAAAATTATTTAAAAATCAATTACTGGAATTTATTATTAGACTACGCTGTAAAAAAAATCATTTTAAAATCTTGTCTTGTTGAATTGTGTGTGACGTGAAAAATGAAGTTGAAATTGGTTTTGAGTTATTTTGATGAGTTAAAGTAATGAAAAAACATGTTGTCATGCAGGGTTATTAGAGTGAATTAAATCTAAAACAATAAAAAGATGTGGAACAGAAAAATAACCTTCAAAATATTAATTAAAACTATAACAGTACCTAGATAAAATATTGCTGCCATGCTCCTAACATTTTTACACTGCACATATATTAATTATAATGTATTAAAGGGATAGTTCACCCAAAAATTAAAATTCTGTCATGAATTACTCACCCTCATGTCGTTCCAAACCTCTAAGAAAATAATAATAACGACTTTATTCAACTATTCGTCTCCTCCGCGCCGTTTTGGAGAGTATCGCATACACACCGTATGTACACGGATACGCTGTTTATGTTTAGATCAAAGCGCAAACAGACAGCGTATCTGCGTACGGTGCTGCTGACAAACGCCAGCAGTGGAATGTAAAAACACATGAGCTGCGTCCCAAATGACGCACTATGCACTTATGGACTATGTACTCAACCATGTATAGTATGAACCGAGTCTGATAGCCCCTCTCCCTTCGCTACGTAATTAAAGCTGCCACAGTTGAGTTCATTAAGTGTCCAACATCCCACACTTCATTTTTTCGGTTATTTAAGTGCATCATCAGTGTGAACGCACTACACGCACTAGCTATACTACAGAACGCCACAGACTATGGTTTTATGCACCTATGGTTTCAAAAACTTATTTTAACTTATATAGCCTACTTTATTTGTCAGATAAACAAGTGCGCAACCATCTTCCGAATTCTATCTTTGACCTTCTGCTTTGCGGTAGCTCTATCCACAAAGAGCGAGCCATCTGTAAATTTTATGTGTCTAGCTTCCGGTCTCATCCGTGTCCAGCTATTTTTAGCCATACAAAACCTCTCGTTTTGCTGCTTGATATTGCAAACTGGTGTGTCTTACCACATTATTCTAATCTTAATTATGAACACACTGGTTTGTAGTGCAAACAGTATTAGCATTGCACGTCGTTATTCTTCTGGTTATTTCCCTACAGCAGCTAATGAACCGGAAGTCTCGCCCATTCATAGAAAACTTATTGTAGAGTTAAGGAAAGTTATCATGTACATTGTAATGTTGGAAGCAGATGTCATAACAAATGTTAGTAGACTGGGAGGATTTTGATTTCTCTCACATCAAAATCCAGCCACATATTTGTTTAGAGCTGTTTAAACGCTGCTTGATCTGTGCAGATTTCTCTCCTGATTCAGACCAGAACACTTTTTCACTGGAGGAAGCCTTATTATGGATTATAGAATCGTGTTTTAGTTAAAACGTCTTAATGCTGGATTTGTTTCAGCTTTTGTCTTCTCCAGATGTTAACTGATGGACTGGAGTGCTGTGGATTATTGTGATGTTTTTATCAGCTCTCGTTCTGACGGCACCCATTCACTTGCAGTGAGACACTGATGCAATGCTACATTTCTCCAACTCTGATGAAGAAACAAACTCGCCCACATCTCGGATGACCTGAGGGTGAACACATTTTTTAGCAAATTTTCATTTTTGGCTGAACTGTTGCTTTAGAATACAGTAAAATGGCCAAAGCGAGTACAAAGAGAACAGAAGCCGCTGATGATTGAGAGGCCATCGCACACACACAATGACCGAGGGAGCTGATTAAACCTTGTGTCCAAGAAAATCAGGACAGAGCAGAACAAACAGATTCAACCTCCCATCCACAGAATCAGATGAGATGAAGAAACGCTCTGCATGCTTTCTGGTTTTGGTGTGGCGTTCACACCTGATATAATGCAGGAATAGAGTTTAAGACAGACGCAGACGCTGAGATGAAGCTGTCCTGTGTAATTGCTGTCAGCTGCTCACAGACACAGACGATGTAATGAGCGCTCAGTAATTAAACTCAAATCTTACATAAGAAACTCAGTGCCAGCATTCAGAACAGAACAGAGAAACCGCCGTCTGTTATGAGCTGATTCACCATAGCTTCTTATCCTTGCAGAGATATCAAAAAATTAAAGGTGACATATTATGCCCCTTTTTACAATATATAATATAAGTCTCTGGTGTCTCCAGAATGTGTCTGTGAAGTTTCAGCTCAAAATACTCCACAGATCAACCTGGAAAAGTCAGATTTTCATGATATGTCACCTTTAAAGGTCTGTTTTTATCTTTACTAACACAAATATATTACAACAATCAGTTCTTAAAGTAATGAATGCAGTGTGTCTTTAATGATAAACGCATTTTTTAAAAAGCTTTATTTCAACTGAAGTCGCATAAGACCCGCCCTCTTCTGCTGGCCTCTGAGAATCAGCCAATGAAACGCAGCGTCTGTTTTCAATCAGCCAATCAGATGAACATGCATCTACTTATTAATTCAGTATCCAAGGAATCCTGTTTCAGCCGGCGGAATAAAACGTAAAAAAAAGTCATTGCGAGTTTTTATCACACAATTCTGACTTTTTGCGAGATATAAACGTAGTAATTGTACATAAACTCACAATTGTGAGAAAAAAGTCTCAATTACCTGTTTTATTTTTTATTATGTGACAGAAACAAGAAGAAAAGAGATAATTCCTCTTTGCTGTCCGATTGTCATTTTTAAGGCACAAGAGGAGCATAAAATCCAAAGAAACAACCATTTACAGAACATTTATGCTGAAATACTTGCAGAAATCAGTGGCTTTATAGTGTACAAATGTCCAAACGTTCTTAAATCGAGAAGCATTTCATTGAGAAGCAAAACGATTGAAGATATTACGTTTTCTTTGTTTTCTGAAAAACTGATCAAAGTTGTGTTTAAGCTTAAAAGCATAGCCCACCTCATCTGTTAAAAACATTTTATCTCACAGTTTTTTTCTTTTTCAATTTTCTCTCAGTTGTAAGATATAAGCACCGAGATCTGAGAAACACAAGAAGAGGAATTGTGAGTTACAAGGAAAAAGTCAGAATTGTGAATGCAAGTACACCGTCTTTATTTTATATTCTGTGGCAGAGACAAAACTCAGAACTATACAAAACAAAACAATAAAGTCATTTTTAACTACAAACACAAGTGTGTGGATTTGGAAAAATCCCCAAAAAAAGTACAAAAATTAAATTTAAAAAAAACATTTTTTTGGGAGGTTATAATGCCCTTGTATTTTAGCTTAAATCTATGGTTTGAAGTTAAAAACGTCTTAATGCTGGATGTGTTTCAGCTTTTGTCTTCTCCAGATGTTAACTGATGGACTGGAGTGCTGTGGATTACTTGTGGATTATTGTGATGTTTTTATCAGCTCTCGTTCTGACGGCACCCATTCACTTGCAGTGAGACACTGATGCAATGCTACATTTCTCCAAACAAACTCATCCTAATCTTAAACACATTAATTGTCATTTTTGGATGGACTGTCACTTTAAGAATGGTTGGGTCTTGATGAGCTGGTGTTTAATTAGAGTGTAGAGTTCTGCTTGCTAATTGATTACAGCGCTGGTTTGTGAAGCTTCTTTAGCCGTTCAATCATGAGATGAAGGATTGCGTCTGATGATCTGAGATCTAATCTGACCCTGAGGCGTCCTTGACACAGACCTGAGAAATAAGAAATGCCTTTGAGATGAGGTGAGACGATTCATGATCATGCCTCGAATCTGAAGAATACACCTTTCAAATACTCGGAGTCAGTCACTTTTGAAAGATATTAACACTTTTATTCATCAGTAATGCATTGAATTGATCAAAGGTGTCAGTAAAGACGTTTATAATGTTACAAAAGATTTCTATTTAAAATAAATGCTGTTCTTTTGAACTTTCTGTTCATCTGTGAATCCTGAAAAATACAATGTATCACGGTTTCCACAAACATATTAATGTTCTCAACACTGATAATAATCAGAAATGTTTCTCGAGCAGCATATTAGAATGATTTCTGACGATCATGTGACACTGAAGACTGGAGTAATGATGCTGAAAATACAGCTGCGCATCACAGACATACATTACAGTTTAACAGAGATTCACATAGAAAACAGCTGTTTTAAATCACGATAATATTTCATTATTTTTACTGTATTTTTGATCAAATAAATGCAGCCTTGATGAGCAGAAGAGTTTCTTTCAGAAACATTTAAAAACTGAATAATATTAGGAATAAATTACATTTTAAAGAATTCAACAGAAAATTAACTATATCTAACAATATTTCACTTTACTGAATTTAAATGCAGCTGGTAATCTTATGGACCCCAAACGTTTGGTGTAGATAAACTAATAAATAAATAAACTCCATCATAAGTGATGTTATATTTCAAAACCATGCATTTATTGAGAAGCCTGTAAGTGCAGACGATGCTCAGCAGGTTGAGCTGTTTTCTTTCGGTCAGAAGCCTGTGTCTGCGTGTGACGGAGGAACTGATGATG